CTCTCTCTCTCCACACACACACACACACACACACACACACACACACACACACACACACTCTCTCTCTCTCTCTCTCTCTCTCTCTTCGTCTCTTACACCGTTGTCAGCTGGTCTTTATCCGTCGGTTCTACGGACGAGCACGATGGTTATTATAAATTAATTAACCCATGTTACACTCGCCTGCGTCCCATCATCGCAAGTCGAGATCTTAAAAAGCAGAGACCCGGTTATCTCGATTAGTGGCGGAATTAGTGGCGGTATCTCGAGTGAGTTTACACGAGCTGAATGAGACCGACCATGCTGTCTGTTTTCGCGCGCTCCGTACAACGTCTATTTGCCTTCGCCGTAACAAAATACGTTTTCGCTTCGAGTACTTCGGCGCATTGCGAATCATTCTACGGCGCGCGCGGAAGAAAGCGCGCGAGTATATGTCGCATTTGACATGGCGCGATGCGAGCATTTGTCGCTTATACAGCTGTAGCATCGGGAATTAATGAGACAAATTTGTCTCATTAACTCCTGATAGCATGTAATCGCGAGAGAGACATCTTGGAAAAATATTTAATATGTATCCGTAAAAAGAAGAAATCGATTCCTGGCTTTCATTTCGACATTTCGCGATAACTTTTCGACGACTCTTTCTTCGGCGCGTGCAGCATGTCGTCCACATCCATTTCGAGATCGTGTTTCGTTCCGTAATCTTGGAAAAATTCTCGCCGCGGTCGACTCGCTTTCCAGATTCCTTGCAACATTAAGAAGGCTGGTCTTTGAATGCCAAGCGACGAAAGCCGCATACGCTCGACTGTCGCTATAAATATCGTCAAACCCGTATAGACTCATGTTTCCAAGGGCCTTGTATAAATGTATGCGACATAGCTCTCAAATTCCCATCGTGAATATCGGAATCCGTTGCTGAGGCGTTGCTATTCGGTCATTGCACGTCGTAGTGATAAAGTAAAATGTTGTTTTTTGCAAAAAAAAAGAAAGGATAGGTTTACTTCATCGACGGGTTTGTCTTGAAAACAAGTCATGCATTCATACATCTATGTATACGTCTATGTAGCATAATGTACGCAAGCTTCCACGTAGGGCTGTGATGTAGAGGTTTTGCTCCACCCGCAATGGCCGCCGTACTACACTCGCAACCACTATTAATGAGTAGAGTAAAACTAGAACAGAGCCCGGAAGATTAAGGTCTCGTTGTTCTCCGTAACGCCACGCTTGCCTCACCGCTGTTATAGGTATGAGACGCATTCACGTGCTGCGTAACATCTGTCAATCATTACGTCATCGCTCCAAATAGCGCTCTTGTCATTGACATGCAAATTGCGACAGGAAAATAAAAGTGGACACTTCATCACGACACGGTCGCATTGTGGCAACCGACGCCCCCTCCCCCTCTCTCCTATGCCACAGGAGGGGATGTTAGAGAGAAGAGAAACTCTTAGCTAACCATTTATGTCAAACGTGTAGGAGACGGGTCGTCGCGAAGTTGTACGGTCGCACGGTAGCTCAAGATTGCCGAGGACTTGCCGAGTTACGCTGCTAAATCTCAAAAGCTTGCGGTACTTTAAGGTTCGGTGCGTTTCGTAGGCCACATAGC